TCCTCCACGAGGACTTCCAAGGGTTCCGAGAAGATGACCATGTCTGAGCAGAGCGCCTGAGATGTCAGAAGCGCCGATAACTGTTCCTTGATGTTAAAGTTCCCGAGAACCCATCACGTGTGTCGCTCACATGCCAAACTCTGCATTTCTGCCCCAAACCGTTAAGCGGCATCTCACAAATGGAAAACTAAAAAAAAGAAAAGCAGCTCGGGGACGTAGGTTCTGTTCACGCGTTCCTCATAGTTTTTGTTTTCCACCGCCAAGCACGTGTGCTGATCGCATGTCGCTCCATACGTGTCGCGCCACATGTGACAGGTGCCTCCGCTCGCTGGCGCAGACCCACGGCCCATGGGCTTCAACTCTTGCCCAGTGGACCGGTGCGTCCCCCGACTTGATCTGCCTTGCTGCCCCAGACCCTGAAGTGAAGGCTGGGCGAGGACCAACTGTCATTGTCCACACACGGGTAGGAGCTGCAGTGGCAGGCCAGTCACACCCAGCGGAAGCCTGAGGCTTTTCTCCCCACTTGAGGTGACGCATCCAGCTTCCCAGAATCGACCCGCCCGGAGGGGCCAGTAACACAACCCGGCTCCAGTGGTTTGCCCAGCGAGGCAGGAGGTGAAGTTCGTGACCCTCCAGACATCCGGTCCCCACGACCTAGCCAGGAGATGTCCCCTGGCCAAGGGCCCTGCCGTTGGGTTGCGAAGCTTCGGCCAGCTCGATATTTGTTTCCCCCGTCTCCCCTGCTCGCCGCCCCCCACTTTGTTGGCCTGAGATAGCGCCCCCTGTAAAGCCTCAGCCCATGGGCTTTGCCTCGCACCGCCGCTCCCCAGGGAGCCTGGGCTTCAGTCGACTCGGTGTGGCATTGGAGAAGGGGACACAATCGAAGTCTTGTGTGCGGAGCTGGCCCAGTGCGACTGCTGTGACAGGCAGAGCTGGCCTCCGGAAGTGCAGGACGAGCCCCCGCCTCCCTCCAGGGGCGCTGCACCGAGGACGGGGCAGGGGTGGCCGCAGGGTGACCCAACGAGCGAGAGGGGGCGTGCAGCCGAGAGCCTCGTTTAAATCGAGAGCATCGATAATTTCACTCACCTGTTTCCAGCTGTGCAGACTCAGTGACATGTTTGCTAATGAGTGGAACGAAGAAATCAGCCTCTGCTGGGCGACTTTTCCCCCTTTTTTCATCCTAAAAAGTTCCGTGGGTCCTCGATTTTCTTCACTGGCTCTTTCTCCCATCTCTTTCTCCCCGAGAGCGTCGCCGTTTTCATTTTATTATTAGTTTTCTTGACCTCTGTTTCACCGGCATCTGTTTGGCGCTCATCTTCATTTCCCAGTAAAAGCTGAACCTTTGCAGGCGGTTTGATGGCTCCGCGTCCCCGTCGGGCGGCTGCAAGGGACGCCAGGTCAGTGCACGCGACTTCGTGCCGAGGTGCAGCGTCGTCCGGAAACTCGCGCGGGGAACACGTGATCACAGAGCCTCACGCCCCCTCCCTGGAAGCGGAACCAAGAGCGGGGTGAGACTTCCGGGCGCGCGCACGCACCCGGAAGTCGGTGGTGGTCAGTGCTTCCTGCGGCCGGGCTCCGCCTCCCTTCCGCTCTGCCAGGGGCCGTGATCGTGGTCCCTTCCCCGGCGTCGCCCAGTTCCGGAGCAGCACAGTGTCCCGCGTGACCGGCGCCCGGCGTGACGCGGCCGCCACCGCACGTCACGAATCGTGGCGTTGGTCAGTCCCCTCTGAAT